GAATATATCTCAACTAAGGGAGTCATTTTAGGGTTTACAAGAGACTTGATTATAGAGGGGATCCCAGGTCCAAGGAGAGGTCCCCAGATTGTTCTCTGGACAGAGAAGAGGGTGCCTGAACCGGACTTGGCCCATAACCATACTGATGAATATTTTGCTTATCACCATAGAACCTTCATCTGGCAATGGATGGAGATAGAGACAGACACCCACACTGGAGCACTAGACTTAACTCCCTAGGTCCAAACGAGAAGCAGAAGGAAAGAGAACGTGAGCAAAGAAGGCAAGACCAGAGGGAACCTTCATCCGACAATGGATGGCGATACAGACGGAGACCCACATTGGAGCACCAGACTGAGCCCCCCAAGGTTCAAATGAGGAGCAGAAGGAGGAAGAACATGAAAAAGGAAATCAGGACCGCGAGGGGTACGATCACCCACTGATACAAGGGGACTGATCTAATGAGAGTTCACCAAGGCCAGTTGGACTGGGATTGAATGAGCACGTGATCCAACCAGATTCTCTGAATGTGGCCGGATTCTCTGAATGTGGCTGGCCTTCAGTCTTTCTGAGAAGCCATTGACAATGATACTAGGACTTGTTTCCTCTGCATATACTGGATTTTGGGGATCCAGTCTGTTTGGATGCTCACCTCCCTGGACCTGGAGGGAGGGGGAAGGAGCTTGAACTTCCCACAGGGCAGGAAACCCTGACTGCTCTTAGGGATGGAGAAGGAGGAGGAGAGGGAGTGGGGGGAGTGGGAGGGTGTTGGGAGGAGGGGCGGAAATGGAAACTTTTATAATTTAATAAACTTTGAAAAAAAAAACCTTAGATGGTAATAAAGACTTGAACAGTCCATAGAATTAACAGTTGAAGCAGAAAAGGAATTGACAATAGTTGCGGAAAAATTATAGGAGGCACATTCACCTTTTGGGTGAATCCAAAATTTAGTTGTATCTTCATCATATTGCCTTCCTGAATTTCTCCTACAGAAATCTTCATACAGAGAAATGATATTATCTTAGAATGAATCGTTTTTTACCACATAAATCAAGTAAAAAAATAAAAACTTCTGTGGAAAAAGTCTCTGAATTAATCATAAAAAGTAAATTGAGACTTCGTCAACTAGCAGGTATAGACCCAGCAGAAATTATAGTGCCTTTCACTACTGATGAGATAAGAAAGTTATGGGAAGACAATGAACCATAGCAAAGAGCTTGTGCTAATTTTTTGGAGATATGAATAGCTACTCTCTGAAAAGCGATAGGCTTAACCTTATAAAGAGAGCTTCTTGGATTCTTCCTCAAATCGTACGTGATGCTCCAAAAAACTGGAGCCCGTACATTTTATACTGATGCCAATAAATCAGGGAAAGCAGGTTATAAATCAGATGAATTGAGTAAGGTGGAACAAAGCCCTTATAATTCTGTCCAGAAGGCAGAACTATATGCCATTCTTATGGTGCTAAGAGATTTTAAGGAACCTTTTAATATAGTTACTGACTTGCAATATGCAGAAAGAGTTATCTTGCTAGACTCTCCGAATTTGGCCGGATTATCTTGCATATTGAAACCACCGAATTTATACCAGATGATACAGAACTGACTTCATTGTTTATCCAGATACAAGACATGATCAGGAATAGGCTTTACCCTATGTACATAACATACATCTAATCCTATACGGGTCTGCCATGACCTCTAGCACAAGGTAATGCAGAAATTGATCAATTATTGATTGAAAGCATGCTACAGGCCTCTGAATTTCATAAAAAAACATAGTGTTAATAACAAAGGCTTGAAGAAAGAGTTTTCTATAACGTGGCAACAAGCTAAGGAGATTATAAAGAGATATCCTACTTGCTCTTTCTATAACCAAACACCACTACTTGCAGGGACTAACCCAAAGGGTACTCAAAGAAATGAAATCTGGCAGATAGACATGTCCACTTTGCACAATTTGGAAAATTAAAATATGTACATCACAACATTGACACTTATTCAGGTTTTCAGTGGGCAACTGCTTTAAGCTCAGAAAAAGCTGATTCAGTAATCACTCATTTATTAGAAGTCATGGTCATCATGGGTATACCTGCACAAATAAAGACGGATAATGGTCCAGCTTATGTCTCTAGAAAACTGAAATGGTTTTTTGCTTATTATAATATTGTAGAGTCCTCCTCCATCATAATATTAAGCAAGTTACAGGTATACCACACAAGCCTACAAGTCAAGCAGTTATAGAAAGATCAAATCAAACTAAAAAGGATATTTTAAACAAACAGGAAGGGGTGGAAAATAGCCCCAGAAATAGATTACATAACGCTTTATTAACCTTAAATTTTCTTAACGCTAATGAAAAAGGGACAATGGCAACAGAAAGACATTGGATAATGGAAAAGTCTGCTGAATTAAATGAATCTGTTTATTTCAAGAATATGCTGACCTCACAATGGAAGTCAGGAGATGTGTTGCTTTGGGGAAGGTTTTTTGCTCTTGTTTCCACAGGAGAAGAAAAATTGTGGATACCATCAAAATTAATAAAGGTTTGGTTTGAAGAGGAGGAATCTCTTGGAAAGGAGAAATGACAGCTCATCCACAATGATGATAATCATACAAGTGGTAAGAAAAACATATAGAATGGAAGCAGAGTTCTGTTCTTATCTCCACAGGAAAACTCTCATCTTCAAAAAAATTCACGGGACCCTGGATGTTTGAATACTGACATATGGAAACAATTTACAATCCAATAAGGATCAACAAGAAAATCGAATAGGTTCCATAAGTGAAAATAATCAAAACATACTTTTAGATATAAAGGAATGTACTTATATTTATAAATATATTGTGTTGGTTTTGGAGTTGGACTCTGGCTCAGTTCCTCTCTAATTCCAAGTCTGTTATTAAGAGAAAACCCAGAGTTTCTCTCTCATAAGCCATGATATGGGACAGAAGGAGAAAATAATTTACAAAATTTATTTGCCTTTCCTCATATCTATTTTTGTCGTTATCATGCCGTTCATTGAATATATAGGTTTGTATATGTCTATATAGATAATATTTAAGTTTTCCATAATGAACAATAAATTTCCCTGCAGTAATCTTAGAAGGTTTCAGGAAGAAGATGGCGCCCCACAACAACAACTCTACCTGGTTAATATGATGTCATGATGCTGATAGTGCTACTACAAGACCTGCTTTGGGTACCAGCTGCACAAGACAGTTCCAACTTGGTTAGTTGAAATGGTGTACATTTTTTACAACATTCTGGCCAGACTTCCACAACATACTCAGAGACTCTTTGCAATTTTACCAGACCAAATATTAATCTTGGAATTTAACCATCATTTACTTTAACAGTATCCCCTAGAAAGAACATCACCCCCATGACAGCTGGAAACAATTTTAGAAGACGACATCCCCTCTCCCAGCAATGTTTTCCCTCAGGATTAGGGACATCATTTAGGGATTGATTATAATTGGTATACGGTTGAGGGATGGGGGAGGAATTTTATAGGCTCAGGGATCTTTTTTGAAAAAAAGGATAATTGGATGATAGAATAATAGATTGGTATTTGTGAGTTATTGTTTTTAGACAATTATATTGGTATCGATTCTTGTATATTGATACAAAGTTAAAATATATTGAATATTGTATCCATGTATGCTTCTACCTCTTCTTGAAAGATTGTTTATGTATTGACAAATATATTTACCATATTGCAGTGTACACTGCTACCTCTGGTCAAGATACATTGTTTATATTTGAAGGTCAATGTCCTCATTTATTACACAGTTGTTTATTGTCTTACTCTTTCAATTAGATAGGTATTGAGAATTATAGAACAATAGTCATCTCTATTTGTCATATTTATAATTAGACTAACCAGGTTCCTTAGATAAATAGAGATTATATTCAGTATATAAAGATAATCTTCAACCTCCTCAAAGAGCTGTAGAAAATGGCCTTTAATCTAACCTAGAGTTCCATGGGAGTGAGACACAATTGCTCCTAGCAACACTGATCTATTCTCGAGAGAATGTTGAGCACCAAAGACACTCCACCTGGAGCCTTTCTTCTTGGCAGAACTGGCCTTTGGGCAAAGAAATGCCCAGACCTCAACCACTGACAGAAATACAGAGTATTCGTAAATGGATAAAACAGGACTGTCATATCCTGCCAAGACAGGTTAAGATAGTTTTGAAAAGTTTCTTGCTTTTCAAAATGGTATGTCAGTTACTTTAGGCCTTAGCCAAAGTTGATTGCTTCAATATTGCAAATGAGACTTTGGGTGATTGCTCAGGTAGTCAGTTGTCTCTGTCATTTGTTACACATTTTGGAAGTTTCTTGATTGCACTTCCAGTTCACTCAAGTAATATTGTTTCCCTTCTCAGATCTTTGATGGAGTTGAAGATTAGATCATTGTAGCTACCTTCCTCATGATTTAGCCAAGCTTAATTTCAATACAATATTTAGACTCCTTGAAATAGAATGCTTAGTAAAACTTTCATTATGCATTCCTTGCTTAATATTGATTATTACTTGTAATTTTATATTTGATTTCTGTTTCTATTGTATAGAGTTGTATTGGGTTTGGATCGATCTTGTTTAGACAAAAGGGGGAGATGATGGGGAAACTATCAACCAATCACATCTAATTAGGGTGCGGCTACCTGGGGCCCATGTAGAAATACGGGGAGATCCAGGTGCGCTCCCCTCTCTCTATATGTCCCCGCTGGACATATAGGACATTGGACCTCCCACACTTGTAGTGTGAGTTTCAGCTTTTTAACTATTAAAATATAACTGTTATTCTTGAGCTGGTCTGGTTATTTATCGTACTGACCTAATTTGCCAACACATGTTTGATTTCTAAGAATGAAATTAAGACTGCTTTCTCCCTAACAGATCATCCATATAAAACATACACTAGAATAAGTGGAATAAATCCTTTTAGGTAGAGAGAGTAGTAGAAGCTGTTGCCTCTCTGTGCAACATACCTGGCTTCTATTGAAAGCCTGGAATCTGCAAATCATCCTCTTCCCAGAATTCCTTTTAACAAAAGAGAGGAATGACATATTAGTATGGAAGGGTAATTGCCTTATTCAAGGATAAGTATAAATGAAGATGGCTTGTTCCTTCCCTGCAGACCAGACCTGAAATAATTATATAAAACTATATTAATAGCAATATTTCTCTACATAACCACATAAATATTTCTTAATATATAATATTCTTCATATTTATACACAATTTTGCATGTGTATTTATGTAAAAAACCATTTATGTAACTGAGGAGCTTAAATGAAGCAAATATAGTAAATCAATATATGTGCTGTCTTCTGATCAGACAATGTGAGAAAATTCTTTCAACTATGCTTACGGTTCCATCTATATTCTGTGGGGAAATAATGCATGGGTGACTCTGCATTTCTTAGGAAAGGCTCACATTCTTCCATAGAAATTGTTTCTTCACTTATATTGCAGGCTTGAAACATATCTATTTGCTGGATTTCCAGTAGAGATCCCAATGAAATTTTGTATTTTTTGTTTGTTTGTTTGTTTGTTTTGATTTTGATACATTGGAATAGATGCATGATCCTCACAGGAAAAGTACTGTTATAATAACATACTATTCAAATTAGACAGATACATAATTGGAAGCTATAATTTTTAGAATTAACTATGTATGTCTGTAAGATGTCATTTCTTTAAAAACACCATAGGAAATCAGCTAGAACATTCTGCACATTTTTTGATGAAAATTGTTGAATAAAATTTCAAGAATTCCACAAAATTAATTCATCCACTGTTTGTAAGGAAAGTTATTAATAGAAAATTTAAATATGACTAAATAAAAGTGAATGCTTACAATTTTATGCTATATATTTAAGTGACCATAAACTGAACTTTAATAATAAAAAAATGCAGTGTACTCACTTTTCATGTTCCAAGGTCACCGGCATTCCACACACATGAATGCGATTCATCTATTTATCCAAATGGAGCAAATCACTTTCCTGAACAAAATCTTGGGGAAAGAGAGATAAAATAGTTAAGTATCACCCACCACTACACCTCTCTCACCTCACAATTGTAGTATGAGGGCTGGCTTGTTGGGGTTTCTGTCCCGCCCAGTACCCCAACAAGCCAGCAAGTCCCAAGGAAAATCACACGGAGTCTACATTAGGTTATAAACTGATTGGCTCATTAGGTCAGGCTTCTTGTTAACTCTTATAACTTATATTAACCCATTATTCTCATCTATGTTAGCCATAATGGCTACATACCTTTCTCTGCTGGGCAAGTTACATGCTGCCTCTTCGGTGGTCTGTACAGGAATGGCTGAGAGAGAGCTTCTGCTTCCAGAATATTCCCAGTCTCTTTGCTCCACCCCTACTTCCTGTCTGGCTTTCCCGCCTATACTGCCTGCCTGGCCAATCAGCGTTTTATTAAAATATGATTGACAGAATACAGATAATTCTCCCGCACCACACAATAAATACAGAAATACAAATGAACAACCACTCAGTTACAGAGCAAGAGTGACCACCTAGAATCTATGTTGCTTGGTCCAAACCATCATATCAGGTGGGCTTTGAGAACTTTTCCAGATTCCAGTAAATACTTTGTCCTTCAGTCCTTGTGTTTTCTCTCTATACTACCTCAGTTTCCGTCGTTTTCCACTAACTTGCTGAAAATGTTGAATGTTCTTTTTTTGGCAATTAACCTGTACATATTGATTCATTAGTTTTGAAAGATAAATAAATTATTACAGAAGGATAACATGAAATTTTAAAAGATATTTGATAGGGGCATCAAGGATGAGTTTAATGGTGAAGAATGACTGGATAACTAATGATCCACCAAATATACATATGTAATTTCAAGGACTATGTCAAATAAAATTTAAAAAGCCTCATGCCATCCTTTTATTGATTTGATTTGAAGCTCTGAAACTATATAGAAAAACTATGACCCATAAGGTGTGTTTCTAAGAGCCAATGGTATTTTAAGGATGCATATGTGTGAGTACCAAAGAATACCCAAATAAAGACTACTTCATGGCTCTTTCTCAATCTCCATCAATGATAATTACATTGTTATTAGTGTAACAAGATGGTTAATGTGACATGATATTTCATAGAAACAATTGTGAGAGTTTATTGATATACAATTTTAAGATAATGTTGTGGTTTGTATAATAATGCTGCCCATATAATCATAAATTTAAGTCTTGGTCACTAGGATGCAGCACTATTAGGAGGCTAGACTTTATTGGAGTAGATGTGGCCTTCTTGGAAAAAGTGTGTCACTGGGGATGTGCTTTGAGGTTTCAAATGCTCAAATCAGGTCGAGTGTTTCTAGTCTTGCTGCCTACAGAACAAGATACTGCCTAACACTTCACTAAGAGAAAATTTTCTTATGAAAATGATAACTTTTTGAGATTGTTATGTATCACAGTATTTAAATTTTTGATCAAGAAAATTTATATATAGCAAAAATGACTAAATACAACTACAGTAGTTTACCTCTCAGAATTCTTCCCCCTTTTCTAGGTTTTGTTTGAAATACATTTCCTCATGGTTACCTTTAGCATTATGGCTGAAATGCAAGATTTCTTTTCCTTAGGTTTTGTAAAAACATTGTGGACAGGAAATAAAATACTTGTAAGACTACAAACAGAGGGAAAAATATTCTTAAAACCTGTACCAAAAGACATAATACTGAAAAGTCTATGCACAGATAATCTTAATTTAATAGACCATACCATATTTGTAAATTGGATCCAATCTTGAAGAGGGAATTAAAAAGAAACAATAAGTAGATGAGCAAAAGATCGGAAAATGTATAAAATAAAAGATATGCTTATGATCTTTAAAAGTGATACTTTGGACATGAATGGATTGCTAAATTATGATATTTTCCTATAAATGAAAATATAGACAATGAACATGAAGCCACAAAAGAAAAATGCCATGATGCAGAAGGTCTGATTTAGTTATGCAATATTAATGGTCAAAGGATTTAAGGGTGGTATGTTTAATTGCTCATATTCATGAACTACTAAGTTTTTAATGGTCTATCCATGGTATAAAAACTAAATTAAATTATATGTATTTAATCACATATAACTTTGGTAACTTTATTATTAACTTTAAAAATTTTGGGGACATGTAGTCATATAAAGAACTGTTATTTTTTAAGAAAAAAATAAGCTATCAGAGAATAATAAAATGAGGTTAAGGTCCATCCAAAGACTGTATCTATGATTTAAAGTTTATGTTAATACTAAAAGTCCCTCACTTAAACACTTTAATTTGTGAGGTTCAAAATCAGAATAATGATAAAGTGTAAAATCCTAATCACATGATATTTTCAAATTTCTTGAAAATTGTTACAACCAAGAAAATTAACTCAGGAAATTAAGTGGTCAGTCACCACATAAATGATCAAATTATTTATTGTGCTTTGAATTATGTTTGTAGTCATGCTAAGTTGGGAGGAGGGGCGGAAATGGAGACTTTTGTGTTTTAATAAACTTTGAGAAAAAAAGAGGAAAAAAATAAAATAAAGCACATGGCCCTTCGTTAAACTAGCTCAACAAAATAACACTCTAATTAAAAATAATGTCAGTGATATGCAATAGTGCTTAATTAACTTCAGTAGATACAATAATAAAAGATCTTTCAGGATGCTGAATTCAAAATATCTAAAGGTAATTACCTGCCTTGTAAGAGAACTTATTTTCTATTTAAAGTCCATAAAACATGAAAAATTATGTAAATTTTGTAGCTTACAGTGAAGAAGAAAAAATTAAAGAGAAAAACACAGGATTTTAGAACTCTTCAAAAAATGATCAAATTATTTATTGTGCTTTGAATTATGTTTGCAGTCATGCTAAGACTAATTTAATTCATTTATGGATAAAAGAGGAGACAAATTTATAGCATGCACTTTATATATATATATATATATGTGTGTGTGTGTGTGTGTGCGTGTGTGTGTGTGTATCTGTGAATGATGTAAAAGTTAAAGAAAAGCAAGGAGTTTATTTAATATAAGATACTATTCAAAATACATATATGAACTGGTTATATAAATTGAATATTTGAATAAAATGGTTAAATCTGAAAATAAACTCTCACTGCAGAGGATCCCAAAGATCACCTGTACTCACTCTTTGATAGAACATAGTCATACCAGATTAAATCATTCACTAGTCTCATTACAGGAGTGTGATGCATTCAGAAATAAGACCTGCCAGAATTCTGCTGTTCTGTCTATAGCTGTGTATATAGGTCTGACAAGCTCCAGCTATTTTGGCCACAAAAATTGACTAGGAAACCCCACACCTTGTCTATATGGAAGAAGAACTACTCTCCATTCATTCATTCCTCATACTATAATAATAATCTTGCACCAAGAAGATATTAGAGTTTGCTTACAAATGTTAATTATTCTGATCTCAATTTCTCCTAAAGTGTCATATAAGGATGCTTTGACCCAGGAGGTCTTGTACAAAAGCATAAATTATACAAATTGTCTGTGACATGCATGATAGTGCAATTGGATATGATCATTACCCTAGCTTTTATTATTTCCTCTTAATAAATGCTTATTACTTAGTTCACACTGTAACCACCAATGATCCCTCATGAAGAAATGCTAACAGATACTCTATACTGAAACCCACAGCTTTGTGTAATTATTCAGAATGTTCTCGGAGTGAATGGGAACTTTGCGAGACAATCCTATAAAAACTGAAAAGGATTGTTTTTCTTCTCCAAGTTTTAATCAGAAGCTGAATATAACTGATTTCTATTAAAAAAGTTCCAAGGGCTTGCTCATTATACAGGAGTCTAATGTTAACAAATAGCTACTAATATTACATTATAATTCTAATACAGAACTGAAAATGGTACACGGTCCAGTCAGTTGCGCAATATCATTTCACCTTACTAATCAAACTTAAATTAAATTTAAATTAATTTAAAATCTTAAAAATAGCAAAAATACTGAAAACTTAAAATAGCAAACAATGTGGTACTAGTCGAAAAATTATAAACAACTCTGAAATTATGTTTCCAGTGAAAAATGCCCTGAAACCAATGGCCTACCATCTTGTGATCAATACCAATGACATAAATCAACAGTGCTGCTAATACCTATGAAAAACCTATAAAGATACATAGGAGAGGTTTCTTAGCTGTTTTCTCAAATGAAATACTAATTAATCTTATTAAATAAAAACTAATAGTCAGATATATGGAGGGAATAAAAAGTAAAATGTCTGAGAAGCAGAGCAGCAACTAGTCATTAGTTCTTACTTTTAAGAAATCCTCAGACTGGGGCTGGAGAGATAGCTCAGTGGTTAAGAGCATTGCCTGCTCTTCCAGAGGTCCTGAGTTCAATTCCCAGCAATCACATGGTGGCTCACAACCATCTGTAATGAGGTCTGGTGCCCTCTTCTGGCTTGCAGACATACACACAGACAGAATATTGTATACATAATAAATAAATAAATATTTAAAAAAGAAGAAATCCTCAGACGGAATGCAGTAGCCTGTCTCTATGAGTCCTCAGATTGAATGCCTTTAGCTCCTCTCTCTTCCCTCCTTATATTTCTCTCCCCACCCAGCCATATCCCTTCTTGTTTCTACTTCCTCAGTTTGGAATTAAAGACCAGTGACTGACAATAACTCAAAGGTGTAAACCACCACTCTTTGAGACTGGATCAATTTAGTATAGCTCAAGGTGACCTTGAACTCATAGAAATCAATCTGCCTCTGCCTCTGCCTCTGCCTCTGCCTCTCTGCCTCTCTGCCTCTCTGCCTCTCTGCCTCTCTGCCTCTCTGCCTCTCTGCCTCTCTGCCTCTCTGCCTCTCTGCCTCTCTGCCTCTGCATCTGACTCTGCCTCTGCCTCTGCCTCGAGTGCCGGGATTTAATATGTGTTACACTACTGCCTGGCTGTTGAGGCTAACTAGTGGCTAGCTCCACACTCTGATCCTCAGACAAACTTTATATGCTATAACACAAACAAAATGTCACCACATTCCCTTTTTTGTCTAAAATAAAAAAGGTTATAACTAATAAAAGGAAAACTATATACAATAAGTACAATAACTATATACAATACAAACAGGCAATAAATATATCAATAATGTCTTGCCCATAAACATTTGACAAATTCAGATAAAATACTCCATTATCTATCCTAATTAGATGAATACAAAAGGTAGTCCCGAGCTCACTTTCTATTCTAATTTGCATTAGCCAAACTATCTCTTACTGTCTCTGAACCCTATGTACTTTACATCTCTTTAGTAATTTTATTTTGCATATGGTGAGAAGGAAAGCAATAACTATAACTATCTAGTCCTCATCTACTTCAGAGAACTGCAAAGGAAGGAATATTAACTGAGTAAGCAGGAAATGCAAGTTTTCTTAGCTGTTTTCTTCCTCCAATAAGGAGAAAACTGCCCTAATTATTTTCTTAGTTATGCCCTTGTGAAAATTTATCATAGTATGAACAACTTCATTTTCATATGTTACCAATGCCACCTCTACACATAGCATGCATGAATAGTATCAGCAAAAAGTTGTCTTGTGTTTGGACATTTGTCATTTCCTAAGTTTTCCTATTGCCACTTGGATTGAGACACTCTACTGGCTGCCCTTTCTATATTGCTTCTTTTGTAATTAATAATAATAGAATCTTCCTTTCTTTTCTTTGTATTATTTTACAATGTATCCATATAACTGGATCTGAGGAATAAGCAAATAAATTATTATAGAAAAATGTTGTGTAGTTGAATTTCAATTTATTTTAATCACTAATGGTTGCCTTAAGATTATAGACTAAAATAGCCCCATGGGTCAGCCTTACAGACCAGGCAGTGGTTACATACACCATTAGTTGAATAGCCACACTAGTTGCCATAGAAAGGAGGAAGTGTGTGCCTTTAATCACAGTGGTGCACATTTTTAATACCAGCCACAGAGAGGATTATAAAATGGGAGGAGACAGCTCTCTGACACAGTTTCATTCTCAAATCCATGGAGGCACAATCACCATTTTGAACTGAGGTTGAGGTAAAAGTCAGTGGCTGACTGTTTTGCTTCTCAGATTTTTAGACTGAACCCCAGCTTCTCTCTCTGAGCTCTTCTTAAACATGCTTCAAGGATGTAAAGTTTAAAAGGAGGTTTGGCTGACTGAGGGTTTACATGATAAAGCATTATTGGATAAATATATGAGAATTTCAAAAACAAATCAGATAAAATTTACAAAATTAAATTAAATAAAAATTACAAAAATAATAAAAGGTCCCATGTCAATTTTTGATTGATTGTGCTTCAAAACTTTGATCCCCATGATGTACTTGTAGGAGCTGATGTGATTTAAGGATGCATATGTTTGAGTACCTATGGATGTTCACATTCAGACTTCTCTATGGTCACTGTCCAATCTCTCCCAAAAATTCAATTATCATTAGTGTAAGCAGATATTTCTTGGACCTCATGCTTCATTTGAACAATTATAAGAACTTACCAATATATAGTACTAAGAAAAATAATAATGTAAGTTTATATATACATTGAAAATTAAGCTTAAAATAATTTAACTCCAATAATTTAATATTAACATTTGCAGACTACAGTAATAATTATTAGAATAATGTAGTTAATATACAGTGAATTCTTACAAACTTACCATACATCAGCATCCGTTTGAGTAAAGCATAACTTTCCTTCTTTTTTCTTTTTTTTTTTTAACCTTGTTTCATCTCAAATACTGGAGTGTTCATGCAGGGAAGAGTAACCAAATGTATTCGATACACAGTAGAAACAATATGTACCTGAAAAGAGAATTAGATTAGAACATAGAGTATGTGTGATTCTTGATGAAAGCAGAATGGAAACAATGAGGATGTTACACTTAAGTTCTCGGCGCCCAGACAGTCATTTGGTACAAGGCTCCATCCCAAATCCAGAATACAGGTCAAATTAATACCTGAAAGCAAATGAATGTGTTCCATGCAGAGGAGCCTCGCTGCACATACAAACCACTCTTAAGATAGGATTCACTACCCAGTCATAGGTTGCACACACACAAAGCACTAAACAGAATTTTTGGAAATTATTTGTCTCATAAATCTTGTCAGCAATTTTTTATCCTCATATGTCCTTTGCCTATATGTAATGGTTTATGGTTTTGTGTGTTGTAAGGAGCCACTTGTTTGCTTCCTGGCTGCCCAGCCCCAAAATAATTACACCCAGAACCAAAATAACCACACAGAAACTATATTATTAAATCACTGTTTGGCCCATTAGCTCTAGCTTCTTAATGGCTAACTTGTATATCTTAATTTAACCCATCTCCATTAACCTGTGCATTACCACAAGATTGCGGCCTACCAGCAAAGTTTCAGTGTTTCTGTCTTCAGAGGAAGTTCCATGGCTTCTCTCTAACTCAGCCTCCACTCTCCAAGCATTAAGTTTAGTTTTTCCTGCCTAGTTCTGTCCTACCCTATTAGGCCAAGCCAGTTTCTTTTTTAAACAGTGGTATTCACAGCTTACAAAAGGGAATCCCACATTACCTCCCCTTTTCTATTTAAGTAAAAACAGAAGTTTTAATTTTAACATAGTAAAATTACATATAATAAAATAATTATCAATCAAGAATTAAAGTTAATATATATATATATTAACTTTATATGTATATTATCTCTTATCCTAACTAAGGAAAACTATAAGTTCTTCAACTCCATCAAAGATTCCAGAAGGATACTATTACCTAAGTAAACAGGAAGTAGATTTTAGGCAACTTTAAAAACTCTAGAATTGATAGAAACATCTTGCTGCCTGGCAGACACACAAAGTTCATCTGTACCATTAGAGCATCCATCTTCAGTCTACAGGCCCACAGTATCCAGCGGACTTTTCCAAAAAGCAAGAAATTTCAAAGATAATTCAGCCTATTTTGGCAGTTTCTCAGTCACATTTTTCTGTGTCCTTAAGAATGTCTAGCAGACTCTTTCATGAAGCAGGATCCCTGAAAAACAGTGTCATTTTTAGGCAAGGTCAGCACTCATTTCTCTGTGGGTCTTGCATGTCCAGGCAAGAGCAGTTTCTGACCAAATGGCCAGCAAACTCCATAAGGAACCTCTTTGATGCACATCTTCCTACTGATTTAATTGGTGCTCCCAGGAGCAGTTGTGTCTCACTGTCATATAAAGTCATAAATTCTTAAAACTTTATAAATTCCATATTCTGTAGTCTTTGAAACTCTCTATAAATCTCTATATATCTAGAAAACCAAACTAACATGACTGAAATCTTGACTATTATAGATGATTATCTATAACCTGTATTTCATAATTATACTTTATATTTCTAAATAACTTGCACAAACACAATACCTTAATCAAGACCAGAAATGTATCTATATTTTATACTATATATATTTAGTATATATAGTATATATATATATATATAGTATAAAAATTGACTTTAAATTTGTATCAATAAACCAAAATCAATACCAATGCAAATCTCTATAGCATATCCCCCTTTAAATGTATAAAATATTTAGGAATAAGGGTTTAACTCTCTCTGTACAGCTTCCTGATTTCTGTTGGGTAAAGTATTTTTTGGAGATGCTCACAGCACCTCCAAGGATCTAACTCAGCGTCCTTTCTCTCAGCATTAAGTTTAGTTTTCCCCACCTAGCTCTGTTCTGCCCTATCAGGCCAAACCAGTTTCTTTATTAACCAATGGTATTTACTGCATACAGAGGGCGATCCCACACCATTCGTTTTTTTATGGCATTATGTTTGCATGAAGATGTGTGTCTTTGCATCTATGTGCTTCTTCTGCTTTTCTTTGGCTATTTTTCTTATATTTGTTTCTTTTGTTCTATTCTGATGCTTTTATATTTTACTATTATTGATATTTTACTATTATCATTACTATTATTATTACATGCCTGTGTATATTCAATTGAGAGAGAGTAGATTTGGGCAAATGGAAATGTGGAGAACATCTTAAAGGAGTTGGAAGACAGGAAACAATAATCATTATATATTATATGGAACATAAACTATATTCAAGTGTAGAACTTTAAGAAAATTCTGATGTTCCTTGTTACATCATCTGATCTGGCAACTGTTTTACAGTCCTGACTCAGACCACTTGTTATTAGAAGCCCCCTTAATAAGTCAATCCTAATAGTTGGAAAACAACCCCCGATTTCCCCCCTAGGTTTCTACGGCTTTTTGCTTGAAAAATGGCTTGTTGACAGGCATTCTGGGTCCTTGGCATTGAATGCTGAGTGACCCTCCCATGACAGAATTAAAACCCTCTTGCTTTTATATCAACTGTGGTGTGAGACTGTATTCTTGGTGTGACTCCTCCTCGGTAATTGGACTCTAGGGTTCAACATTTGGTACATTGTCCAGGAATAAGTCACCCCTCGACCCACTCTGGACTCACCCAGTTGGAGGTAAGAAAGAACGAGTTCACTTTTATGGTTGTGTTTGTTTGCTGTTCCCATTTTTTCTGTTTCTGTGTTATTGTGAGTCAGTAATTTGAAAATTGTACCTGCACAGGGCTAGTATTGGAATGGAACCAAAGTGGGGGAGGCAGATGTTCCCTGACACCCCTGACCCTTTCCCTGGAAGACTCTCCATGGGCATTTTGGGGACAGGGAGACTGGGTCGCCCTCGTCCTCCAGAGGCATGAACTGCCTCCATCTCAGTTTGATTTTTGGTATTGAGACAATTTGTTGCTGCATGACCTTTGGCTTTGAGTCTGTGTCTGTCTTTCTGTATTTTTGTTTTTGTGTATCAGTTTGCCTTTGAAAAAATTGGACAACAATTATCTACCCCTTTGACCCTGACTTTAGAACATTGAAAGGAGGTTGAAATTCGAGCTCATAACCAATCTGTGGAAATTCGAAAGAAACTCTGGCAGATGTTCTGTTTCTCGAAATGGCCCACTTTTGAGGTGGGTTAGCCATGGGATGGGACATTTACTTGGATACTATCTTACAGGTCAAGGAAAAAGTCTTCAAAACCGGCCCTCATGGCCACCCAGACCAGGTTCCCTACATTGTTACCTTGGAGAGCTTGTCCAGAGACCCCCTCTCATGGGTCAAGCCATTTGTCCCACCTGCAGTAACTCAGAGCACAGTACCGGCTCCAACCCCATCTGCCCCTTCTCCTCCTCTGAGCCCTTTGTCCACCCTCCTTCCTGTGCAGGAGAAAATGAAGTACAGAACTCAGGCACCTCTGAGTTCTTCCTGATATTCAGGACAATCTTCTCCTCCTTGAATCCCTTCTGCCTCCTCCACCCACCCATCTACATCTTCCTCTTCCTCCTCTAGAGGAAGCACTTTCTACACCAATCCCCAAGAAACCCGCATGGGCCCCTAGCCCTGATACAACAAAAACCACTCCTGAAAAATGGAAGAAATGAGTAAAGAAATGGAAGAGAAATATAACAAAAAGTTTGAAGAAATGAGTAAATTTGTAAATGATACCCTGGGAAACCAAGAAAAAAACAATCAAACAGGTAATGGAATCAATTCAAGAATTGAAAATTGAAATGGAGGCAGTGAAGAAAACAAAACCGAGGGCCGGTTGGATATGGAAAATCTAGGTAAACAAACAGAGACTTCAGGAACAAGCATAACCAATAGAATACAAGAGATAGAAGAACGAATCTCAGATTATGAAGACACCATAGAGAAAATAAACACTCTGACCAAAGAAAACAGCATCTCCAAAAAAATTCTCATCACAAAATATTCAGGAAATATGGGACATAATAAAAAAAACCAAATCTAAGAATAATAAGAATAGAAGAAGGAGAAGAATTGCAGATCAAAGGTCCAGAAAATATATTCAACAAAATTATAGAAGAAAACTTTCCCATCCTAAAAAACGATATTCCTATGAAGGTTCAAGAAGCATACAGAACGCTGAATAGACTGGATCAGAAAAAAAAAAAATCCCCTCACCATAAAATAATCAAAACACAAAGCATCCAGATTAAAGAAAGGATATTAAGAGTTGCAAAGGAAAAAGGTCAAGTAACTTATAAAGGTAAACCTATCAGGCTTACACCGGATTTCTCTATGGAAACCATGAAAGCCAGAAGATCCTGGATAGAGGTACTGCAGAAACTAAGAGACCATGGATGCAAACCCAGACTACTATACCCAGCTAAGCTATTGTTCACTATCAACGGAGAAAACAAAATATTCCAGGATAAAAACAAATTTAAACAATATGTAGCTACAAATCTAGCCTTACAGAGAGTATTAGAAGGAAAATCACAACCCAAGGAATCCAACATACCCAGCACTACCTACAATAACTCAGACAGCTAGCGACCCTTCACAAGCACAACTCAAAGAAGGAAAAAACATACACTCTACTACCCCAAAAAAATGACCGGAGTCAACAACCACTGGTCATTAATATCACTTAATATCAATGGACTCAATTCACCTATAAAGAGGCACAGACTTAGAGATTGGATACGAAAACAGGATCCAACATTCTGCTGTTTACAAGAAACACACCTCAACCACAAAGACAGACACCTACTCAGAGTAAAGGGTTGGGAAAAGGTTTTCCAAGCAAATGGACCTAAGAAACAAGCGGATGTGGCCATTCTAATATCTAACAAAATCGACTTCAAACTAAAATCAAACAGAAGAGATGGAGATGGACATTTCATACTCATAACTGGAACAATTCATCAGGAAGAAGTCTAAATCCTGAATATCTATGCCCCTAATATAAAGGCACCCACATATGTAAAAGAAACTCTTCTAGAACTCAAGGCAGTC